AGAGCCAAGTTTTAGGTTCATTAATTTTTCTCAATTTTTTGTTTCATATTATATTGTTTATCTTTGTTCTAATCTTTATCATTTCTTTTTGGTTTTTCGAGACAGGGTTTCTCTGTGTAGCTTTGGAGCCTTTCCTGGCACTCGCTCTGGAGACCAGGCTGGCCTCGAACTCACAGAGGTCCGCCTGCCTCTGCCTCCCGAGTGCTGGGGTTAAAGGCGTGCGACACCAATGCCCGGCTCTTTGTCATTTCTTAAATGTAATTGTTTTAGTTTTTATTTTGCTCTGCTTCCAGTGTCCCAAGGTGAGGGATGTTAATGGTTTGAGATCTTTTTAAGATAGAGATTTGTAGCTATAAATTTTCTGGTAAATATCACATTGATTACACCCCATAAATGTTGCTATTCATATTTCATTATCACTTATCTCTGTACATTTTCTAATTTCCTTTCTGTTTTTAAAATTGATCCATTTAGTGTTTTTTTTTTTTTAGGAATTATGTTGTTTAATATCTGTATATTTTTTAATTTATCAGCTCTTCTGTTATTTCTATTTTCATCCTATTGCAGTTGGGCACAACACATTTTATAATTTCAGTAATTTTAAATTTATCATAGTCTGTTCTGTGTACTAATGTAGTGCTCTTTTTTTGTTTTAGATCTGATTTTTATTAATCTGTGTTTCTCTGTGTTTTGATATGTGCACATGAGAGCAAGTGCTCTCAGAGTGTTACGTCCCCTGGAGCTAGAGTTTGAGAGTCTCCTGATGTGTTCTTCCATGCTGCTAATGAACTCAGGGTCTTTGGAAAGAGCAGCAATCATTCTTAACTTCTAAGCCATCTCGGCAGTGCCCTCTGCCACTGTGTAGTACTGTGTGGCCTGGAATTTAAGAAAACCAGGCTGACCTTGAGCTTGAGTGGTCTTTTTTCATCTTCCTGAGTGCTGTGATTACAGGTGTACACCATCACACCCAGTTTAAATAGTTCATGTTTAATTTTTTTCTCTGTATACAATCTTATTGTGGGGTAAAATATTCTCTGAATGTGTGCTAAGTTGAGTTGATATATACTGCTTTTCAAGTCTTTGTCTTCCTTGTTGGTCTCCTGTGAGTTTTTGGTGGTGGTGCTAGGCATTGTCCTTAGGGCCTTGTATAAGATAGGTATGTCCCCTTCCAATTTGTCTAGTTCTATATATACATTTAATGAAAATGGTGATTTTACAAATGTTGAACTATTTTTCTTGTCATTTACAATTTTTGTATGTATTTTATACTTTGTAGTTTTGTTACCTATGATAGAATCAGATTGTTGTTTATAGATTCTTGGTCTCTTAGTCAAGGAATGATATATAAAGGCGATACACATAGGGTACAAAGTAACAAACTTTATTCTAAAGAAAGCCATAGTGTATATCAGAAAGAGACACTATCATTATTCACAGCTGGCCATGTGATTGAGTGTACTAAGGACCTAAATAATTGTTTGGGACTTCCTGTTGAGAAGAAGGGCCTGGATACTAAGGGATTTAGTTTTGTTTCCATTGACAAGCTTGGATTATGCAAGTCTTTGCTAACTGTGCATATCCCTTCCCTTGATGAATGCCTTAGTTAATATTTCTATTGCTGCGATGAAACACCATGACCAAAAATTATAAGTTAGGGAGGAAAGGGTTTTATTCAACTTATATTTCCACATCACAGTTCATCATTTTTTTGTTTGACTCTGTTTTGCTTGATATTATTATAACTATTTTAGCTTTCTTCTGATTGCTGTTGTGTGATATTTTTCTCATTTCTTTTCACCTTTCTTGAGTAGGTCTTCATATTTAGCTTATGCTGGCCTCAAACTCAATGTATACGTCACGATGCTCTTGAATTCTCAGCCTCCCACATGCTGAACTACTACCATGCCCACTTTCAAACTTTCTGTGTTTAATATGTATAACATCTTTTAAGTAATGTTTTATGTATATGATTCTTTTGCCTGCATGTATGTCTGGACCTCTTGTGTGCAATGTCCTCAGGTCTGAAGAGGGCATTGGTTCCCTGGAACTGGAATTAAAGAAAGGATTGTAAGGCCTCCATATGGGTGCTGGAAACAGAACTCCAGTTCTGCAAGATCAGCAAGTGCTACTGAACATTCATCCATCTTAATGTAGTTTTATAGTATCAATATCACCAAGGAAAAGTATTTTGCCTACTTCAGGAGTATCTTTTCATATGCTTAGATTAAAAACAATTTTTGTATAGCTAATTCTTACTTTTTAAAGGTAGGCTCTTACTGTGTACTTCCATCTGGCCTTGGGCCTGTATTCCTTTTGGCTCAGCTTCCTAGTTTTAGAATTTTAAGGTATGTGCTGCATGCTCAGCTTAAATAGCTTTGAATGAAAACCTTTTGCTATCTTATTGTAATTAGTGAACAGGGCATTCATTATATGTTAGACATTTATTCCTAGTATTTCCCAGTGCTGGAATGGGAAACAAAAGTATGTGATGCTTGTTTTCATTTATCAGCTTTAGAGTCACAGTTGCTTTTCTTTTAATTATAGGAACAATTTTGATCAAAAGTAACAGTGGTCAGTTGATGCTGGTATCTCCTCAGCAAGCTGTGACAGGAGCCAACACCACAAGTAACATAACTCCAAGGCCAGCAGTACCAGCAAACACGCAAACAGTCAAGATCTGTACAGTGCCGGTAATCTACCTTAATTTTCTTAGTTTGCAGCTACTATCTTCTTATAAACGTGGACATGTTTGCCAGTAAAAATTTGAGATAATTTTGCTCATTTTAAATTTAAGAGCCAATTTAGTTTTGATACTTGGTAATTGCTAAAATAATGAAAACTGTACCTTCATGCTCAGTGATCTTATTGTCCCCAAAAGAATTGTTCAAATGGGCAGTATGTGTCTGCTGAAAGAAAATAACTGTTCTACGTCAGGGTTTTAGAATGTTGTCTGCACGTGGTTGTATGCCTGCATGTGTGTTCTTATGAGTATATGCAGGCCAGAGGCTGATATCCATTGGGTATATTCCTCAGTTGCTCCTCACTGTATTTGAGACAGGTTTCTCATTGAACCCAGAGTTCACAGGTGGACTAGACTGGCCAATCAGCACACTCCCAGGGTACTCCTGTCTTTGCCTCCCTAGCAGTCCCCCAACTTGTTTGTTTTGGTGGTGGTGGTGGGTGGGCGGGCGTGCGTGCGCGCTTACTTTTTACCTGGTGCTGGGGTCTGAATTCAGATCTTCATGCTTACTGAGTGAGTGATCTCCCTATCTCTGTTTCACTTTTAATTTGTAGTTAGTAAGACTCCTATTTAAGTTTTCATTTTCATCCATATGTTAAACAAATTACTTCCAAGTAATATAGAGATCTGCTTTAATATTTCATTAGTTTTGCCTTTTTTGAAGTGACTTTTTTTTATTTAGCTGTTGATTTTTTTTATATGGCTGAAATTTAGTGTCAGTGAATTTAAAAATACTCTTATGAACATCTGTCTTAGGGTTCCTATTACTGTGAAGAGACACCATGACCATGACAACTCTTATAAAGAAAAACATTTAATTATCATCCTGTCAGGATATGGCAGCATGCAGGCAGACATGTTGCTTGGGAAGAAGCTGAGAGTTCTCTATATCTGGATCCACAGGAAGAGAGACACACACTGGCCATGCTTGAGTGTCTGACACCTCAAAGCCTGCCCCAAGTGACAAACCTCTTCCAACAAGGCGATACCTCCTAATAGTGCCACTCCCTATGGGCTTGTTGGGGCCATTTTTATTCAAACTACAATAACATCTTTATTTAACTCAGAAATGTTGGTGTTGGGGTGATAGTTTGGTTGGTAATTGAGTTGGATCTCCAACACTCACTAAACAAATGCCAGCTGCTGTTGAATACACCTGAGATCATAGCACTAAAGTCAAGAGGCTTCCCAGGGCTTGCTGTATAGCCAGTGAAGCCAAATTCAAGGGTTAGTGAGATACTGTCTTGAAAATTAAGGTAGAGAACAGTTGAGGTAGATGTCCAGTGCCCTCCCTCCCTCTTCCTCCTTTTCTTTTTTTAACTTTATTATTACTGTGTGTGTGTGTGTGTGTGTGTGTGTGTGTGTGTTTGTACACAGGCACACATGTACCATGAAATGCATGTGGAGGGCAGAGGAGCACTTTTGGGAGTTGGTTCTTTCCTTCCACTTTATGGTCTGCCTGCCACATAAAGTGCTGTTCCCAGCACTTAATAAGTTGCAGGCCTCGCAAGAAGTACAGTTACTCAAATGGAGAGATCACATGTATGTAGGAAGGCCTTAGTGTACAGCACTTCTCTCCTACCAGGATTAAACTCAGGTCATCAAGCTCTTTTACCTTTTGTGCTATCTTGGTGATCCTACTTCCAATTTTGATACTAGTTGCTCAATTAGTTTTATTTTCTGTCAGTAATTTTCCTTCTAATTTGGTTTAGCTATAAACAAAAAACAGATTTTTGTTTATAATTAAATATTAAATAAGAATGTGTATGTTTTCTATATAACAAATTAAGCTTAAAATTTTATTTTCTTATTGTGTGTATGTTTTGTATGTATGAGTGTGGGTGCATACATGCTATATATTTGCTAAAGTCTTTTCATTTTGTTCACAATACTGACTGATTTAAAATGATTATGGGCTGGAGAGATGGCTCAGCTGTTAAAGGCTAGGCTCACAACCAAAAATATAAAATGATTAATATTGACTGGGTGTGTTAGCAGGTGCCTTGAGGCAGAGGCAGATAGAGCTCTGTGAGTTCCATTCTATTCTGGTTTATGTATTGAGGTCTAGGCTAGCCATGGCTGCATAGTGAGACCCTTTCTCAATAAAACAAAATAAAAAATAAAAAAACCACAAATGACTAGTATCAATAACTTTGTTTTTTTTTTTTGTCCTTTTTCCCCAAGAATTCTAGCTCACAATTAATGAAGAAAGTACCAGTGGCTCCTGTTAATAATTTGACACAGATA